AAGCATACACTTCTAATGTGAAATCAGTAACAAAATTATTAAAATACTATGAAATCTCAAATCGCTTGCAATTTTGCTCAGATATAAGAACTACATACTTTGCATTACATTTTCTAAGAATCCTGTGTAAGAAAGACAATATGGTTTTGATTTTTTGTTTTATTAAGTGAAATGAACAGGCTAATTAAAGAAATTCCAGGAAGTTTCTGCTTTCTGTCTCCTAGGGAAAAGCCTCAAGTGTCAAAGGAGATAATACTGATGGCTATAAAACATCCAAGTGTGTTTATACTGGCTATAAAATGCAGCTTATTCCTTCTATTTAACTTGCAACATTTTTTGGTTTTATACCATGCTTAGAAACTCATATTAAGCATCATTTGAAGTAGTGCTTCTGTATATTTGGAAAAAAACCCATTGTAATTGCAAGTTAAAAAACAGAAGGCAAGCCACAGGCAAAAGAATCTTAGGAATAAACTTAAGACTACAATTTCATCCATAAACACTAAAAGCTAAGAACAAACTCGCCATCAAAAAACATAAAACCCTGCAAGATACTTCTAGTCCTATCTTTCAAAACGTCTTTGGCCCTGAATGATGGATGATCTCCTACTTGAAGCCTTAAGCTGTGCCACAGAACTGGCAGTGGCTCTGCATGCAATCAGTTGAGCCTTCTAGAACTTTTAGACCCACTTGTAGATCTCCTAGATGGATTTGAGGAATTTTTAAAGAAATTGAACCTTCTCGTAACAATTCAGCAATTCTGAAGTGCGGTATAGAACCAAAACACTCTGGGTGCAATTATTATATTTTCTAGTATCAGTCCCTCAAAAAATTTCTACATTCTTAGAGAAGCCAATGTATGTGTTACTGAAGCCAGTCAAAAATAATGTTTTTAATGAGGGTATTAGCTATCTCGTGCAACTTGCTTCTCAGACAGAGTTGCACCTTCTAGAATATTTAGTGTTCTTTGAGATAATGTCCATGATTCAGATCACATGAAATATTTTGAGGTATTTTACCCTTCACATGAACAAGGGTGTGTGGGCCCTGGTAAGGCAAACCATATCAGATTTGAAGTTGAATTTTATGTAATAGTTTAGAAAAATAAATAAGAAATTAAGTCTAGAAACTGTGAGAATTCCCTGCTGTATAGACAGATGCAACCACATTATCAAGGGCCTTTGTAGAATGAAATTTAATGACTTGAAAATACTTCTAAGTCCAAGCCTCAAAATGTTGAGATAGCAGAAGCATAGGATAACTAATCAGAAGTTAAAAAAATCTCTGATACATGTTTCTACTTCCACCAGGAAGACTTTTGAATGAGAATATAAAACCTTCCAAAGTGAGCAGGCAAGCACATGCACTACTGGTACCTTCCTGCTTTACTGCACAGCTAACCCTGTGAGCAGCCAGGTAATGGCAGCAGGGCACAAAAGACAGGAGAGAATAATGTTGGAAATATCTTTCAAGAACATCATTAGCTCTTCAGCATCACAGAGAGATGACATTAACCAAAGCAACTTCAAAGAGCTGAAGGAGATTAAAGTTTTTCCTCTTAATGATTCTAAAGTGTTATTAAAGGGATCAATAGCTCTTCCTGTTAAACAAGCAGCTCAAATCAAGTATTCCTGAAGAGGAGATAAACCATTCCTGGAAGTAATAGTGGGATTTAAATAGGATTTGACGTTTTTCACTATTCATTAATTTATCTGCAAGTATCACAATAGTTTTAGTGAACTGTAAATTTACAACAGTAAATTCCTCCTATAAAAGGAGAGAAATACCTGATGCCTTCTGGGCACTTAATTGTGCCAAAATACCTTATTTACTATGTCATCCACATAGAGAGAAATCTCTCTTTCCTGTACCTGATGTCACTATTTCTTTCTGGGGGAGGAGGAAAGAAGGAAGACAGAAAAAAACCCGCATTATTTCCCCTTTCTTTAACAATAAAATAATTACATCCCAAGGTGGTGCACATTTTGCTTATTGTAAACCAAGACACATGGAAAGCCCCTTAGCAAATCAAAACTAAATTAGACTATTACTAAGACTTGGCAACTTTTCAGCTGTGCAAGCAGAAGTTTTATTTTAATCAAAATCAGAGATAACTGATCTTGCAACCTGACTTGCACATCACCACACCAAACTTAGATCTGGAATTCAACCTCATGTATTCAATTGTAAAATCATGCAATTCTCAACAAGGACATAGACAGGAAACTAATTCCTGGTTGAGTCCTTCCCACACAAAGTCTCTAGTGGTTTTTGACACAGAGATATGATACCAATGCTTTCAGTGCAAACACAATGACTTCAGAATTCAGAGTTTATCTGCACCAACGAGTCACTGATAAGGGAAGCCTTTTCCAAAGTGGTTTGGGTTTGTTTTTTCCTTTTTTCTTAAAGGCCAATAAGTCAAGAAAATAAATTTTGAAAAGGACAACCAAGCAAAGCTTTCTGGCAAACCCTGTGCAATATTGCAGGAGCAGAGGGACCCAGGCCCTCACCATTTCTGTGGGATTGCAGCAATGTTTCAGCTGCCACTTTGCTGCTTGTTGTCAGAAAACAGCTTGGGCCCCCACAGGAAAACTGCTCTCCTTTCTGCTCCCACATGAATGCATTTTCATAACAAATGTGTCTTAAACTCTTCAAGGGTAAGAAGGGCCAAAAAAAATCCAATTAGTTTATTGTCTGAGTGCTCAAATCAAAAGCAATAATCCAGATTATAATGTTATACAATATTAAAATAATTTCCTTTTTGCAGCATATAACCATTAGCCATACAAAGACAAAAAACCTCACTAAAGCACTGGAAGTAATATTGCCTGCATTCTGCCCAGTTCTTTGAAGGAATGAAAAACATTGTGTAGGAACTATATTTTATTTCACTTGGTTTTGCATGGAGATAAACAGCTTCAAAAGTTCAGGTGGATCATTACTGAACAGTTGTTTTCCCTATTCTTTCTCCTTTGTTTCAAGGTTTGATCACAAGGCTGCTTGCTCTTAAGATTTCTTTACTGTGTGCACAACAGAATGCCTTCCTTCTGATTGTGGAGAATTCATAACCTCCTTAAAGCATCCTGCTGCTCTGAAAACTTGAGAGTGAAGGGCAGATGCAGCTGCAACAGCTGCAAGACTGCAGTTGTTTCTCAGAGAAAGCCACTATTCTAGCTTTAAGAAATTGTCCCAGATCTAGGGATTTCCTCATCTATTTTTAGCAAGCACAAACAAGACAGATTTGTTGGTGCTTTTCAGACTGCATTTGCCAATCTCCCCAAACTCTTCTTGTTCTGCCTACTTAAATGTGCTGCCATGACAATTTACTCCCACTAAAACAGGGCTGCTCTAGTCCTGTTTCTACTCCCTCCTCTTTCTCTGCAGCTGCACTGGCTGTTGGCCAATGCCAGTGTCTAGGAAAATAACCAGCAGCACTGCAGAGGGACAGAGGAGTGCTGCATCACAGCAACAGCAGCGAGCACGGAGCAGCCCAAACTCTCAGATGACCCCTTTACTGACCTGTGCTCTCAGTGCCCTTGTTAACCAGATGCTTTAGTCTGCAGCAGTTTACTGAAATACCATACAAAACAAGAGTCAAGGTTAAGGATTTCCTTACCCATCCACAAACTCCTTCCCAGCCCACCAAACTGATGTCCTGCCATCTTCAGAGACTTCTGCAGTGACGTCAGTGGGACAGATTAGATTTCTACACCAGCCTGCAGAACACATCTCAGAGCCCTCAGTCTGACTACAGTCCTGGCAGCCGCTGCTGCCAGCACTGTGCAATGGAGTAGGGCAGCATGGACCAGCAAATGCAGGAATTCAAACAAAGCATGGAGAAAGCAGATCCATAAACAACACAACCCCTGTCACAATGAAGTGCAAACCCACAGAAAGATGAAACACTGCAGAGCTCTCTTCAGGTGGCTCCAGGTATAAAGCCAGACTACCTCCATCAGTGAGCTCATATCACATGCAGGCTCCTATGCCCCACTTACATTTATAAATATATTTAAATAGAACCATAAGGTTTCATTTTTATTATTTATTCTTCCTGTACAAATATAATCTGTAATTCAACTCTAAAAGCCAGTTTATGGCAGTTACTTTTTCAGAAGTCTATTCTAGAGGCCAAATTTTAGTTTTGTTAAATTTTTTAGAGTTTATATTCTACTCTGAGCAGTCAAGGAGGCAAACTATATCATGGAGAAGCTTATACCATTCCTTGGTAGTTCATAAGAAGAGCAGAAAGGATGGCTTCCCCTGAGCTCCTTGGAGAATGACAAGCCAGAGGGAAAAGCCCCCTACCAGGAGAGACAGATGAGCAGTCAGGGAAGCAGAAGTGGCTTTCAGCTCTTTTCATACAGTGAAGGCCAAATTGTATTTTAGTATCAAATAACAGTAAGGTGTGGCTACCAACAAGGTATGAAATTTAATCCAGCCCTTGGCGGGGGAAACCTCCCTGACCTGCCTGAGGCCAGCTACAGAGGCAGAAGGAGCTCCCAAGCAGCTGGGCAGCGTGGTGTCCCTGCCACTGCTGGCCCAGCTTGGAGAGCTGCACCTTCCCTTGAACTCTTTATCTTCTTCTCTCAAAGCCTTAATGTGCTGTAAAGTGTAGAATACCAGGAAGAAAATATGAAAACTTGGTGTCAATGTAAAAAAAGCATTTGCTCAAAATCTCCAGTAGTTACCACTAGATGGCATTTTGTTCCTGAGAAACCAGCGAGACGCAGGTTTGGGATTGTTACGCTCAGCAGGAGACAGTACAAAATGAAATTACTTACTTCATTCAGTTAATAATCTATTATCCATTGTCTTGTATAAGTAAAACATTACTAACAGAAGAAATTTCGTTTGCAGATTGATAAATCCTGTTTATTTAACTATAGCTTGTGACTCTTCAACCCTCCACTCAGTAGGTAGGGGTTTGAGCTGTTGCCAGCACTTACTAAAAATCTCTTCCACACTTTAAATGAAAGACAAATGTAGCCCAAGTCAAGACTTTGAGCATGCCATGGAAATCTGCCAGAAATGCCTTGCTCCAGTAACTGTATACAGTATTTCCTGTGTTATTTTTGGATAAACCCTTAAAACAGATTGCAGTATAAAAAGGAGTTTCCATTCAGGAAGAGAGCTGAAATAATAATTTAATAACATTCAGTTATTAATATTATATTTTTCAGTGTTTCATTTTAGTTTCAACTTGTACAAGCTGTGATGATTTACATTTTTAATCTCCACAGGGTACAGTGTATCACACCAGGGTGTGCAATGAAGCTCTGCTGGGTACAACCTGGGGTGACATGTAGGTGCATTGTTTAATATGACATTGTTTGGCATTTGCAAACCTCTGTGTCAGATTAAAGCAAGCAGGAGTATTTCCCTTACTCTGCAGCAGGGGTAAGGATGTAAGGAGACTGTACATGATGATGCACAGCAAATCTGTGCACTGCTCAAATTTTCTTTGACTAAATTATGTTTATTGACAGAAGCATTGATGGTCATTAGCAGTGGCTAAATCAGATCCTGCTCTTGTACTTGCTTGAAAAAGACTCATTATAAAGGAACCTTACTTCACTAAGATAAAACTAATCCTCACCTCTTTCTAAAACAGGCACAAGCTTCTTTGAAGTTGGTAATGTAGAAAAGCTGCTTTAAGTCAATTATTTTATGAATTTGTGTGTTGCAAAACTTCAAACAGCTTTATATAGCCTTAATGATTGTATACTTGCACCTTTTTTTAGTTTAAATTTAGCTTAGTACTATTCTCCATCAACATAAACTGGACTAGAATATATCAGCAGACATGTGAAACCAAAAGCTTTCAATCTGTCAAAGTTTGTAACAATCTAACTCTGACAAAGAGGTGACATTTTCTTCAACAGACAAGACCTGCGGGACTTATGCACCCTCCAGAACATGCCTGAATGCCTGGAACATTATAAAGTGCATTTCCATGAAGGAGGGGTGTGTGCCCTTATCCAATATGTGAAAACAACAACAAAACCTAAACCAGACATGAAATACAAGAGCAGGTAAAGAGCAGGTAAAGAATTTTTTTCTTGAAATATAAGAACTGTGCCAGACCTATGTAACAAGGAAATGTACAGAATTTATATAACAAACTGGTACTTACAATACAAGGGAAGCATCCCAGTCAGTCTAATGTGTTTCCATCCCAAGAAGCCAGTGCTGTCAGCTCAGAAACAGCATTCTGCTTGTATGGTGACTGGGAACAGAGCTCAAGGCTCTGGGGCCAGCAACCTTCCTACACAGCATTCAAGTGAGTGCTGCATAATTTAGAAAAGAGTAAAGTCCTATTAGAATCAGGACTCTAAAAAGTTTGGGTAAATAGTTAGATACAGGATAAAGAAACGTTTTGCATATTCACACATGTATTCAATAATAAATTGTAAACTTAATTGCTTAAGAGTCATTAAATATGTGAACAAAATGAGCAAGTGCTCAAAATGTCATCCAGGGAAACAGATAGCATCTCCTCGGTATTTACAAGGATTATGAATTTTTTCCAGGAAAAATCATTAGCCCTCTCCAGCAATTCTGCTGAAAGAAAGGACAGAAAGCAAGAAGACTGAAATATTAGCCTTTTGCTTGTTTTCTAACCATAGCCAGGCTGACTATAAAGTCTCTTGGCATTTTACAGACAGCTAGAATGACTGTGCTTTACATTATATCAACTTTAAGAGTATCTTTCTCAACACAGCATTATGAATAACAGGATGTTTATACTACTTACCTCAAGTGAGATCAAAACATTTCTACCATCACTGTAAACATTTGGAAGAAACAGATCTTCACAGAATGCATCTTTGTGTCAGAGCAAAGGGCTGCTATAATTGAGCAGTGAAATGTAGCACCGTCTTGGCGCAGACGTCTCCCCTCTCAGTTTCATTTTCTCCATTTATTCAGGGCATTTTATTTTGTTTGCTGCTAAGGCAGAGGGCTCGTGCTCTCCTTGCTGATCTCCTTTCCCTCCTGATTAGAATCCCAGATGTAGGACAGATATATTTTCCCATTTTCTTTTTAAACATTAGCAAATTAGTAGTTTTTTTTCAAATCATTCAGTTAATAAAATGCAGCGGCCCAGGTGTTTCTCAATGGCAGTATTTTTGCCTCCTGTAATGGTCTAGAACAAGTGATTCAGCTAAAGGGAGAGAAATACTACTCACTGACCGTGCCAGTACTAGCTCGCAGCAAAACGAGAGCGGGAACGTTTTAGGCAGTAGAAAAAACCAGACCTTAACTTTCATCTTTCAGGTAGCTAAACAGCCATCAGACCAGCTTTCAGCACATTCCATCCACCCGGGCACAGATGGTGTCAAACGAAGCTGTAATAGCTCATGCTTGTACTGTGATGCACTGAGAGAGCCACAGGCAAGAGTGAGGGGAGGGAAACATGGCTGCCTGCAATCCTGTTTGTCTGAAAGCTCCCTGGCAGTGCCTCGTTCCTGAAGCTCAGCTCAGCCTGGCACTGACAGTCCTCCCTAAGCCAGAAGACTCTCCTTTAACCTCATCTGCAAACTGAGCATCACCAGGCCCTGCTGCCCAAGGTGCTTACAAACACTGCCCACTCTCTGCCCTGCTCTGTTTCTGCTGTTGCTATTAAAACCAAAGAAGAGTTCCTAGAAGCATGACTCCTGTTCTTGGCTTCAAGTTGTTCTGTACCTTCTGTGCTTGTTAACATTTCTAGTCAGCCTGTACAGCTTAAGCTACTGTCTCTTTACCTGTGGACTAAAAATTATAACTGTCCTTGCATAATGATTTTACAGTACTTCTCTGATTAACGACTCATCCCCCATTAAATTAAGTTACAGGTAGTTTATCTAAGAATCTCCTCTCCTGTGCCTCCTCTTCCCTCCAAAAATGAAGAGGATAAAGTGCTTATAAAAATACACATCATTGTAGATGGTTAAAATACACTAATTACAGAAACTGGATCAGGTTTATGCATCTTGTTCTACTGATAGCCATGTGATTAGATGATACCTCACAGCTACAAAGTTAAAAACTCTTATCTGGAGAAGGTTGCAGTTTGCAGAGTTATGAAGCCCTCAGCATACAAACTGCACTCATTAGTTGTGCACAGCATCTGTAATGAAATCTTTTGTAACACTCCAAAGTCCTTCCATACCTAAATATATATAATGTATCTTAGCTAGGAATATGTAAATATCAAGATAACATAAGCTTCTTGTATCTATTTTAGCTGAAGACAAGGTACAAAGTGTGCAGAAATTCATTTTCTGACTTCTGGAAATGGAAGTTTGCTATTGAGGGTTAAGACAACTGAGGAGGAAGCAATATGCAAAAAGAAAGAATTCCACATTGAATAGTATAAGCACTTTCTGGGGCTCATCACACAAAGAAAAATATTTTGAACAGGAAGAAAGTAAAGAAAAAGAAAGGTCATGATCCTACATTCCGTAAGGAAGGAAAAAATGAGACAAAAAAAAAGTCACACCAAACCCTAAACTTAAAAGGAATATTACCACTGAAGAATATGAAACTTTGAAAATTTCATGATAAAATCATCCAAATCAACTCTACACAGCATTACACAACACAAGTTAAAGAAATCCTACCTGTGTTACTTTGGATACAATGGTTAAAAACAGATGTACAGACTATTGCAAACCAATCTTACACTGACTGCTCTGCAGCGTAAATGAGCACAGTTCCAATTATGTCTCTACTGAGGGAAGCAACAGGCAGCATATAAATGCAAACAGCCTTCATTAGACACATTGTCATGAGTATATTAATCATGTCAAGAAGCATTGCTCAAGTTTCCTTCAGTGCAATTTAACATACCTTACTTTATTAGGATGCACTTAATTTCACTATGCTTTCTCCTCATTATCATTTATGATGACCAATTAAAATGTTTGTGTCTGTCTCTAAGCAAATTACTCCTGTAATTCAGGTAGCTGAAATCACTGTTCATCCCACACTTCTGTCATCTCCTTCTCTCAGTGCAATATCTTCCTTTTAGAGGCCCAGCCACTCTTACCAATGCAAACAGAAAAAATCCCTTACTTAAAATGAACAATTAAGATATAAACCTGAGTCTTTTTATAGCACAGACATTAAGAAGTGGGCTGGTTCTCCTCCCCTCACCCAGAGTACCCGTGTTATAAAGCCTTTTGTTCCCCTGGAGTCACCAGCACAACTCATAGTCAGAAAAAGAACGCAGCGAAGCAAGGGAGGCCTCACACATTTTTCTCATTGGGTTAGAAGTTGTGTGCAGCTTCACTTCATTTGGTCCATACATGGAACAAATGCAGACACACAGCAACTTTACTCCTTCATTTCCTTCAAAACCTTTGTACTGGGGCTCTGGCACAAGCTTTCAAATGATAACAGAATGTGTCATTCCACACATGTTTCCAACATCCATAAATAAGCCCAAACCATTTTTACTATTCTAAACATCAGGTGTGAGGGCATGATTTTTTCTGAACCCTTGACAACACAACTGTGAGCCATTTATTTGATTACAGCTGTTATTTCTGGCTTCATGTGTATTGAAATAAGATTAAAATAACTGGAAGTCAGGTGGAAATTGTAATTACACACAGTGCTTTTGCTGTGGAACTCAGGGCAACCAGGAATGGCTGAGCAACATCTGGGATCACCAAGCTATGTTTATGAACTCATTTATCTGTGGATTACCTTGGGCTCCTGGAACTAATGATACAATGCTTGTTCCTCAGCAGCTGCCGGAGCTCAGCTGCAGAGCAATGGTATTTACCTTATTTTCTCAAGAAACATACGTGTTCTCATTTACATAACATTACTTTGACATTACAGTAATGACTTCCAGAAAAACACCGATAATTGCAAGGATGAAGAAAGAAGGCTGAAGACAGAGCGGCCTTTTAGAACAATTATAATTTCATTAAAATAGGAACATAACTTAAAGATAGATTTTATTCTCTTTGATGATTTACTCATGCAAACTGCACATAAAAGAAAACAGTACAGTTTGTGAAACATGTCAAATGTAAAGACCCAAAATGCTAAGTACAGAAGTAGTGTGACAACGTCTCAAAACGGAATCCATGGTAGTACGGCTAATACCTGTTCTCTATTTGCTGAACACAGATTTTAATGGTTCTTTTTCCAGCCCCACTGTTAAATTCATTAACTGTTTACACATCTCCTATACACTTATGTAGACTTATTTTACAAGCGCAACAGTTTTGTTATAAAAAAACTCCACTTATATGATTTAAAAGCCTTTGTGTTTAGGAGGGCAAATTATAGTATGATCAATGAGGCCGCATCTAGTCCACCAAACCTACAATGAAAAGTGACTGTAGAGCTTTCTTGCAGAATTCACACTTTGTGCCTTTGCAATTCAATTCTTTCTCGTGAGAGGTCCATTGTATTTAACCATCCTGGAAACGTTCAATAACTGTTACAACTTTTTATCTTGAAATTGGGAAAGTAAGACTTTTAAACACATGAGGTTATCAACACAACTTTCTTAGTTTTAAAATACAAAATATTTAAATTCCCTAATATTTTCATGCTTAAAGCCCTGCAATGATACATATATGACTTAGATACTTTGTCCAGTTTTCAGTACAGTATGGTTGTATATATATTGCAGAAATTATATTTTCCTGTGAATCAATTACATTTTTAGATTTAAAACTGAACCTAATAGAAATCTGATGGCACTGACACTTAAAAAACGCATGGTATAGTGTGGAGAAGGAAGAGCAAATGAACTACACAACCCATTATAAATGCATTAAATCTTTGTTATATACATAATGGAATCCTGCTTTACTGCCAGTTGCTACTATGCATCTGTTTTTGCTATTATACAAAGTTTTCCGACCTGAAAGCACACATCTACTTTTTTTAAAACAACTTAATCTATTGTAAAATATTGTACTGTATTTTGAACATGAGTACAGAATCAAAATAGATAATGGCACATTTAAAAAACTCAGTATCCTACAGATGATTGGATAATGAGAAAAAGTGTACCTACAATCATCTCATCAGAAACAAACTACATCATGGAATGTTAGTTATCCAAGTTCGCACAGTAAATAACATTTTAAAACTGCAATCACCTATCAGCCAGCATCACATTGAAGGCATCTTTAAACATTCAAGCAAAAGACTGCTGGCATTAACTACTGAACCATTCTCACACACACACCACACACACCACATTATAATTACATTGTTTCCAAGATACGGTAGATACTGATTTTTTTTTCCACAAGAAAGGTATCAAAATTTTTGCTACTAAAAGATGACAGTGCTTACACAAGAATTAAGTACAAGTTAGCTTGCAAATACAAGACAATGACAAAAAAAAGTCGAGTTGTCTGAAGAAGGATTTTAGGCTTTTCTGGCATCCAAAACCATGAGTAAACTCCTTAGTCTGCGACTCAAAAATCCACAAAATACAACCTACTTTGGAATAACAAGTATTCCATACTTGATAACCCTGTATTTTACAATATGCTTACTGGTTTCAGCCTAGCAACAAGGGGTGGTTATAGATATCTATTCTGACTGGAGAATTAAAGCTCTCCTCCCACCAGAATCAAGTGTTGGAGTGGGAAAAAAACCCACCTGACATCAATAAAAAAAAAAAATCAAATCTATTTAGTAATGATCCTCATCTAGGATTGGTATGTGCATAAGTACTGTATCTCATATACTGTACTGGCCCTATTAAACAAATTAAAAACCCCAACAGTTAAAAGCCAACCAAAATGCTATACATAAAAAAACCCAAATGTTTTTCTTCCAATGTTCTTCCTCTCATAATGTGCAAAACAACAAAAAGGCAAAAAGACTAAAAGCAAATTTACTGTTACTGTCTTTCTCTTGCCTAGTGCTTTATGACCTTGCTAACTTTACAAAGTCAATAGGGACTATGCAGAACTTTGGTATAAAAATGTCACATAATATTCCTATCACAGTCTTGGGGATGACCTTTAGTAATTCACCCCAATGTTTGTTAAAATAATACCAAATTAAAAATGAAATAAACCACATTGTACTGTACACACACTTTACACATTAAGCACAAAAAAAAACTAGTAAAACTAATACTTAAAAAAAAAGTCTTTCGCAAAGAGACTAGAACTGGTGTTCCGTCTTATTTCCACCTGCCAATCGTTAAAGCCAAATTTAAGTTGGATTTTTAAAAACGAATAATTTTAAGCTACAATTTCTCCTAGATGGAGACTGGTCTGTTGTTGGTTTCCCTTTAAAGTCACAGATGTGTATCTAAGGAACTGATGCAAGCAAGTTTGTAATCAACTTCCCGAGGGCTGGGCCTGGGAGGGAGGCGCCAGGACGATCTGGGACAGCACGGGCTCCGTGCTCTGGTCCGCCATCTGCGTGAGCACCGAGGTGGCCACGGCCTCCGCCTTGGACGTGGAGCTGACGCCGTTGGAAGTGCTGACGGAGCTGTGCTGGATCGCCTCCGTGTGCGGGCTGCTGGGCACCGAGATGTCCTCCGAGCTGTCGTCCTTGTCTGCAGCTGAACAACAACAGCAGCTCATTTATTCTGGGCTGGAACGCACCCACCGCCTCCCAGCCACAGCAATCACCCCCTAAATAGCTAACACTCCTGCTGTAATGCAGCACGAATTGCAAAATAAGCTTATTTCCATTTTTTAAAAAGAAAATACTATTTTGCAAGCAGAAAAAACAGACTGCGGTATGGACTATTCAGGAAACCAGAGCATTTTCACATCTTCAAGGCCATGATTGAAATTTCCTGCCTAGTAAATCAGCCAGTGGGTACTATGCCTAATTCTAATGATGCTTGTTCACATCAGTAAACATTATTCACAGACTACAAAATGCTATTTATTGTGTCTGCTTAGAAATCAAACAAGAATAATTCTACATTCAGTAATAAATACTTGCCATCATGACTAAGATATCTGAAAAAATATTACTTACACCACTATATTTACTGGACAATGCTTACATGAGTATTCAGCCTCCATTCTTTTAACAGAATGAAGTTCCATAATTTTACAAATGCCTCTTAATAGGTTTTAAAATCATTAAAGCTGGCTTAAAAATATTTTTGGAATATTTCAGGTGTTCTCCACATAACCAAAGTGAATTAGCCACAGAATTACATCATTTTTTCCCATGACAGAGGGTAAGCAGGTTAAAAAAATTACCACTGTGCAAAAATAAAATTTCCAAAATTATCATGACTTAACATGTCCCTCTTGCACAGACATTCTAGTCATGCTAAAATCATCCTTTTTTCCAGAGCTGCAGAAGTTAGCCAAGGTATTATGCAAACACTGCCAAACTAAAAGTTTGAATTCAAAACTAAAAAACCAAGAACAGAAAATTATCCTACTGTTTTTCACTCAAAAATAGAAATACTAATGCTGAATTTAATTGTAACTTTTTTATATCACTTTGTGCTACTTAATGTTTGCAAGTACTTTTCACAGCAGTTTTATAAACAGACCAAAACCAGCATCCAGGTAGCATATTAGAAGTCCCTTTTAAACTACTACTGACTACCCTGACACAAACATAGCCAGAAGCAGGCATGAACTATTGCTTGGGACAAAGCAATGGAATAAAGCTTGATCTTCTCTAGTCTTGTCTTTGCAGTCCCTTCCAGATTTGCTTGAGATTGGCATACAAGTTCAGAAGTGCCTCAGAGAAACAATGGGAGAGGATGACACTACCATGGGAGACAAGCAGTGCTGTGGAATCATGTCCACATTTCCACAAAAAAAACAGGCTAACAGCAGCAGCTAAAAAGAACATTAAGTGTGAAAAACCAATAGTGAAATAAAGTTTATGTTTTACTGAGGTTTATATGACATGCTAGCTATGGGTAAGAAAATTTACTAACTTAACAAGTCAAGACCCCAGTATAAAGATCTTGGAGCAGCCCTATGCATACTAAGAACAAACTCCTCTTCAAAGCTTGAGAACAACTGTTCTATTATTGACTGCTTCTAGAAAAGAATGGTAAGGTCAAAAAGGATGGGTAGGCTAGAAACTGCTTCATTTTTTTTTCTCAGAAATACTGCCTACAGGAGCAAGGTGGCAATCTCTCCTGCAACTGCACTAAAAGAGCAAAGAGTAAAAGGTAATAGCTTGGAAGTTACAATGCTCTTATCCACAAGGCCAACTGTTTTATAGATCATGCACTTTTTAAAAAAACAGACCATTCAACATTAAAGGAGAGATACTGGTGACACAGAACTAGATCTGCTGACAAGTACTGCATATCCAAAGGTTTCATAATAACTGTATACAACAAGAAAATTAAGGTATTACCAAAAGGCATTTGTGACCTTTAGGAGAGTTTGCCCATTCAAGAACAGAAAGAATAAAAACAAGTGCCAATTTAGTTAGAAGTATTCAACAGGATATAATCTTTACCATACCCCAGCAAGACTACAAGATCTCACGTAAAACAAGCAAGAAGGAACACATGCAAACTTTGTTAAAAATAGAAACCCTAGTGCCACTTCCTGAAAAATACTCCATTACTAATTATGAGAGCAGCATATTTTTTCCTCAGACAGAATGAAATGGCAGCAAGTGGGATGACATGTATCAAATACAGTCTCTCTGCTGTAACACCTGCTCCTCTTCTTCAGAACTGCTGTTATTCTCCCCTATGAATCTCAATCTTCCTATCAGCTTCTTTTGCTGATTCCCAATGTCTGGGTTGTCCAAAACCTCCTCATTCTCAATAAAAATGGTTAGTTTGAAATGCCACGAGCCAGAGAAAAAGAAGAAGTTGAAGTACATCACTATCTTTCGGCCAGAGAAGGAAGGTCTTCCATGTTCTGTCTCCCTTAACACATTTCTGAACTCAAAAGAAATGTCTGTAATAGTATCACAGTGGTAAAGAACATGAGAAAGGCCTGGTTTTCTGACTTTGATGGGTTCTGGAAGATCCTACAAGCAATGTGAGAAACAGTGATGAGGACAGAGGTGACCACCAATGTACAAGAGCAGTGTTCATATAATAGAGCAGATAAAAAAACACGATGTACTGGAGACACAAAAGTGTACAATTCAGGTATTTTCAAATGCCAGGAGGCAGAGAGGGGGAGCCTACAGCAGACAGGTGATTATATAAAACATAGAGCTAACACTAATTTATGATAATAAACTGGACTGGAAGCATAAATCCTTGCAATAACTACAAAGCAATATTCAGAAATGAGGTGACACCCTAAAGAATAGCTATATGAATTTTTTTCAATGTCCTTCCTAATGTAGTCCTAACTTTACAGGAAAATGGTCAAAAACTGAAAAAACCCTCAATTTGAAGAATTAAAACCAAACAAGAAAATCTACTCAACGAATATAGAAAGCATTTAGAAGTCATCCTATCACAGAGATGGCTTGTTTTCTTAAGCCTGAAGACTGGGAATGACCAACAAAGGTTTTTAGAAGAAGACAGAAAAGTCATACTTAAATTCTGACAGATGATTTTTTTCTTTGTTGACCAAAGAATTGCCAGGCACAGGACTGTGATTTCAAGAGTGTGACTGATACATAACAGAATCATACTGTAGCTAACAACTAAAAAAAAAATCATTTTAGCTTTTCAATTGCTTCCCCTGCTTTGCCTCACATCAAGGAAAAAGCACAGTTCAAATTAGAAATCAATTCAAAGAAATGTTTGCTGTATATTAGAAGGCTGAAAATTTACAGAGCTACATCACATGAACTTTCCTGAAGGCTACGTAGCTCCTAGACAGGCTGTGTCATGAGGAGCTAGCCACTATGGATATGGAACACAATGTGGGCTAGACTGGGCTATAGGGAAGATTTAAAGAGCACCAAAACAGGCACAGACTTTTGAGGATATACTAAAAAGTACCCTTTTCAAACAGCCAAACATTGCTGCTATTTGCTTGTGTTACCACCACAGTAAGCATTGCTTACCAATAGCTTTAAGTAAGGTAAGCAAACAAAGAGGGAGGGATTTCAGTCTTCAGAAGGAAAAACCCACCTAAACCAAAACAGGAGTGATACACAAGCACTGACATGATCCTGAATTCCTTTCAGCCCCTGATAATCACTAACAAGAATTAGAAGCCTCATGGTAATTCTCATCAAGCCATGCAGGGACTACAGAGGGGCCTAAGCCTAGAAATGCTTTTTTCCAGAGAGTTGTCCTTTGTGAATGTCCCCTGCAGGCACTGAAGAAGCATTGCCTGTCCAGAACAGGCTGCAGGAATACAGAGGTTTGAGAGGTTCAAATCATTCAAGGTCTGAAACTGGCTGGTCACCTTTTATCTTGCTTTTTAAAACTAGCTACAGAAAGAACACAAACTGCCCCTTTCAACGCCCCCTACACTGCAGCCTCTATCTATCTTCTTTTGTACTCTGTTTTGAAAAATGCTCTTGAATATTAAATATGGAAAAATATCTAAAAAAACTCTTTCTCCCTTAAAAAAAACCCCAAACTCTGAATACCACAACACATTTTCTTCTCACTAGTTTTCACCTTTGTCCTACTATAAGCCCAAAAACAAACCTAACAAAATAAAGGGGGTATGTATGGAGGACTTTTAGAAATTATCTAGTATAGAAGATACACTGAAAAATAAATTAACAG